GGAAGAATAGATGTCTCTTCCATTTGCATTTTCAGAATTTTTAAGGTGTACTTCTAAGGATATTAGTTTTACTGAATGAAGTTATTTTCCTGTTCCTCTACGCTTTTCATACAATAAAGACTGAAAAACAGGAACAGTGTCTGTATGCTCAACATACAAAGATAGTGGGATATTCATCAATCATGAGGGGAAATCATCAGGCCTGATAATGCAGAATCAGGATGTAGGAAAGAGAAGAGGGAAAATTGCTTGAGATGAGACATAATTAAAAGAGTGTGGGGGAGGAATGACAGACGGAAATGTTTTGTAGCAATTTGCAACAAGTGGCTTTGATGGTTTAAGGCCTAGTCTTTTAAGGCATGCCTTAGTGTGATTCTCCTTGGGATCAGTAGTCTGCTTCTCCCTCTACATTGCTTTCTAGACCTGCTGTAATTTAGGATTTTTTTCAGAATGATTTAGTTYAAGGTCATCCTGTAAGAAAATGTGGTGTTGGAAGCCTAGAGATGTCAGATAACTTCCTGTGAGAGGAATACAGTTATTTGGGAACACACACTGCCAGTACAGTCGTTACCAAGAGTGCTCAGGCTTGGTTTTGTTTTTATTGCAACAGGGAGCAAGGAAGGAAAGTGACTTTTTTCAATTTCCAGGAAGTCAACCTTTGGACACATCTCTGCTCCTTTCCTCAGAGTATAGACTCACAGAAGTAGAGAGTAGAGGAGTGATTTCCAGAGGCTGGAGAGGGCAGAGGGCAGGAGAGGACAAGGAGAGATTGATTAAAAAGTTCCTGTGACATAAGAGATAGGAGGAATGATTTCCAGGCTTCAAAGCACAGCACAGTGGCCATAGCTCAAAAGAATCATTGTACATTTCAAAATAGCTAGAAAATGGGTGGGGGTGGGGGCTGTGGCTCAGAGGCAGAGAGCTTGCCCAGCACATGTGAGGCACTGGGTTCTATCCTCAGCACCACATAAAATTAATTAATTAATTAGGCATTTAAAAAAAAAAAACCTAGGTTAAAAAAATAGCTAGAAAAGAGGATTCCAAATTCTCTTGCCACAAAGATATGATGAATATTTGAGATGAAGAATTTGCTCCTGATCCTGATGTGATCGTTAGATTTATATACATTTATCAAAACTTCACAGTATAATTCATGAATAGGAAAAAATTTCCTTGTGTCAATTAAAAATTAAAACTGCAGTCATAAAAATTACAAAGAGAAAACAGAAACAAGCTTCTAGTATCCTATTACCATGAGGTCAGTCTTCCTTAAGGAAGTATTAATAAGACTCCTGTCTTCTGGAGGATGTCTGTCCAGACCCTTAGACTTGTGACTAAGGCCCAACTCCACCCTATCCCCATAATCACAGCCATTCTTCTGACAGTAGGATCATTCTACTAGGTTCTCAGTGGTTATCTCACCTCAGTCTTGATATAATGCACTCTCCATGCTTCTGCTAGAGATTGTTCTAAAACTTGACTTTGATTCACTGCACCTTGCATTTTTTTGCTCCATGTTTTCTCCTGCTGCCAAGTCTTCACAAAGTGCAGTTGCCTCTGATTGAATGCTTCCACTCCTTAACCACTCAGGAACCACCTCCTTCTCCCTGAGGAGTCAGCCTGAGCGACACTCCTTGTTCATTCTGGATTTCTCCACACTGAATAAGAACTCATTCATGATTTCATTACACTTTGTGCATCYCTCAACCCTAAAGATTCGGATTTATTGGAAAATCATAACATCTCCAATTTACCAGAGGACTAAATTATCATTGAGGTTATACTTATTGATCTTTATGTCCCCAGTTCCTACCTAAACTCCTGGGTATACAGTAGACACTCAGAATTGTTTATTGAAATTGATCTAGAAAGTTATAAGAGATCCTCAAAAAGAATGATCTTTCACCAGGAATACGAAAATAAAGTCTGGCACGGTATATGTTACCTGAGATCTCTGAACAATCTAACTACAACCCCTAAGAAAAGAAATTTGGATTTTGGTTGTTTATTCATTCTTCCTTTTTCCCCTTTTTTATTTTGTTTTTCACTTCACACATGCACCCTCATTTTTAATATATTCAGGTTAGTAGGAGAAATAAAAGTTAGAGGATTTTTTTCCCCAGTACTTGAAATTGAACWTTTATCACTGACTGATTTTATTTTTTTTTTAATTTTTAATTTTGTGGCAGGGTCTTCTTAAATTGCCCAAGCTGGCCTTGAACTGTGATCCTCCTGCCTCAGACTCCCGAGTAGCTGGGATTAATGACATGCATCACTGTGCCTGACAGTCACAGGAAACAAGCTATGTAGTTCAACCAAATCATTCAGAATATTTAAGCTACGTAAACAAAAAAGTATAAACATAGAAACTTATCATGTATRGAAATAATGTTCATAAAACATGAATGTTAAAGCATTATTGATTAAATATTTCAGATCACTTTCTATGTACAAGGAACTGTTTTAAAAATATCTATTCATTTATTTGTCATAACAACTTTAAGAGGAGATCATGGAGAAAATTTAAGTCTCTCTTTAGTGTTTTGGGATAGTGGGTTGACTTCTTTTCCTTATATAATGCAGAAAGATTTTGAATTAATAATACCTAATAACAACAAATTATTTTAAAATATTTTGAAAGATTAAAGTATTTAAGAAAGAAGCTATTAGTGAAGAGTATTGTAGTATTTATCATCTCTATTGTGCTTGCAAAAAGAAAGGGAATAATTGAATATTTGGGAGGAATTTTGTCTGACATTGGAGTATCAGCATTAAGTAGATCACCTGATTAATCATGGATAGATACTGTAATATTTTGTAGGCTCAAGATAAATCCAAGTTTGTCACAACATAAAGCAGATATCAGAATAAAATCTTGAAAATATTCTTATTTCTCCTCATTTGTAACTTTAATAAACAGTGATGATTAATTGCAGTAGGAGATGTCAAAAGAGAAGATTAAACTCTAGATAAGTTGAAATGTCAAAAGTGAAAGCTAATGCCACTGACTACTCAGAAAATAGCAGACTGGGTTCACACGTGGATCATTAACAACAAAAAAATCTGCAGACATTAATGAATACAGATCTAAACTAAAGCTACAACAAGCTTTCCCATTTTTAAAGAAAACGTCAGTGGAAAAGGAAAATACAAGTATTCAAAAGTCAGAAGAAGACATCATACCACAGCAGAAAGCTATCATGATTTTATCAATGAACAACACAACACATCTGGAGGAATGGCTAATATCTCTGATAATGACATTAACATCTAAGAAAGATCTGTTTAAACCTCAGATTAACAAAACCAAATAAATATATGCATACATCAATTGAGTTTTTTTCTGCCTATATGTCACCTCTCCATAGAGGCTTTTTGAMGACTCATTTCTAATGTAACCTTTGGGATTCTCCATTTTCCATTACTTCATCCTGTTTGGTTTTCATCATAGCATTTATCCCATCCAACTATTTTCTTTATATATATTTATTGGTTGATTTGTTTCTTCACTAGCTTCACAGCACAATAAAAAATATGCAAATAGTAACCTATTTGATTTATATCACTGAGTGGGATAAAATCATTTGGTGAAAAATAAATGTAAATTTATGTCTTTCTCTTTAAAAATAAATTTAAACAGTACAGATTTAAAAAAAATCAGTATTTCATGTAAAATATAATATATGTACATTATTTAATCACTGGGTCAGAATTTGCTGCTGGTCAATCACTTGATCTTTAGTAAATCACTTAATTTTTTCAGAAACAGTTTCCTCATTTGTCAAGCACTCCTAATCATAGTCCAACCTCTCAAGAATTTTAAAATAATTTATAGGAAAGAATTTTTAACTATAAGGTACAAAACAAATACGAAAAATTATGACAGATGGTAGAACCAGGGGCAGTTGATCAAAACCTCAGTGTAAACTGTTAGTGTCTCATGATAACTTTAAAAAATAGATACAATGTTGCATCCAAAGAAAAGAATACTTTTTGTACTGGTTGGACTCAAACCAGGTTATTATATTTCCTTCCAGTTGCATATTTTACAAGATACTGGCAATTGTGTACAAGTAGACCAAATACTTCTACAAGTGTGGAAACAGTGAAATTTGAAAAAGAGTGAAGAAAATTGAGGGGGCTATGATCATAAGGAACATGGAAAGGAAAGTAGAGGCTGTGATGCTTATTTTGAAAATGTGAATAATTTTAATTAAAAGATTTATTATGTATAGTACCAAGATGCAAATGAGGAGTTGGAGGGAAATTAAAAAGTCAAATAGAGGTTTGACTCTTTTAAGGTCTTACTTGGTGAATGTAAGGAACAGCCTACTAACTAGCGATTTTATAGTGGTGGAGGTAGAGAAATGGGTAATCACACCCAAGGTAAGAAGGGTACTTATCAGCAATGTTTGTATTGGTCATCCTACTGAGACTCTCTTTAATATCCTTTAGTATTGTTACAGTTGTCTGTTGACAACATAAACTATGGTCACATTTATGAAACTTGATATCCTTCAAGGATTCCCTGTTGTATTTTGTAGGAAACTTGCTGTTGCCAATACAGATTCCTGCTAAATATGCCCTTCAATTAAAAAATGGTCTCTCTTATCCTCCAGTCTTGAGGAGGAGGGAGATGCCTTAAAGACTCAGTTAGTGCCAATTTGGCAAATGATAAGTGTTAAAATATGTTTTTGTGAAATGTTAAAATATTTGCCTTAAATGACTTTTGAATTGTGGGGCTTGAGGACCACAGTGGCTCCTCCTCATTACTTTTATGTTTGCATTACAAAGACAAATCTATCAACACCTCCTGTATTAAACATGTGATGACCTTTTCMTCATTTCCCTATACCTGCATCTCTATTTGGAGAAAAATGCATGTAAAAAAAAAAAAAAAGAGAGAGAGAGAGCGAGAAGGGTAGAAAACAAGGACATTTAACCCACAGAGAAGCAGGTTAAAATTTCATTACTTTTTTTTTTTTTTTTTCCTATTTCAGCTCAAAGCAGGAGGAGGCTGGAGGCTGCGGACTCAGTGCTGGAATGAGGAGTAATTGAGCTTGTGCTGAGCTGGAGGTAGCTTTCTCCTCCCSGTGTCATTGCTGCAGCCTCCACTCCCGGGTCCCTAGTTCCTCAGCTGCCTCTCTTTCTGGTGTAAAATCGCCTACAAAGACAGCAAAGCCGCCGCAGAAGTTGCCCGGCGTAAGACTACGGAGGTATTGGCTCAGTAACTTTTCACGTCATTTTCTGCTCTGGATCCCCTTCTCGCCTCTCCACGCAGCTTTTCCCACCGCAAATCACCAGTGCTCATGGGGCAGGCGAAGAGGAGCTTGCAGCACTGAGCTGAACCGGACTCGAGCCCGTGATGTCCGGCACCAAATTGGAGGACTCCCTCCCTCGTCGCAACTGGTCWTCTGCTTCGGAACTGAATGAAACTCAAGAGCCGTTTTTAAATCCCAGCGACTATGACGACGAGGAATTCCTGCGGTACCTGTGGAGGGAATACCTACACCCGAAAGAATATGAGTGGGTCCTGATCGCGGGGTACATCATCGTGTTTGTGGTGGCTCTCATTGGGAACGTCCTGGGTGAGTCTCCTCCCGGGCAGACCTCCAAAGGGCTGTCACCTCCCCCCCTGCCCCAGGCTGCAAAGACTCTGAAGACCCCTCCCTTCCCTTGGGATGCAAACAAAGAGGTTGCTGCTCTCCGTGAGGTTTTTGATACAAAGAAAAAAAATTTAAAAGTTTTCTGATATTACTAATCAGGACTAAGGGTGATTATTTCTTTTTCTGCAAGGGGAGAAAAGAAACCGTGGATTGTTTTTGTTTTTATTTTTGTTTTCCTCTGAGCATCCAGGTTACAAATACAGGGAGAGGGACAGTGACAGGCATCTCCAGGTRGATTTTGTGGAGTGTGAGGGAATCAGTCATGCTTTTGTGTAACCTGGCTAGGTGTTTTAGGAGCTTTGGGGGCAGATAGAGCTTGCTGAATGCAATGCTTGCGACCCTAGGGAGTAAGCTCTCTTTGGCTGTTGAAGTCACAAAGCATATTGTGAGCTAGGTAGCATGCCCTCTGGCAAGGAGGCTTAGGCTCCCATCAAGAAATGGTAATGAAAGGGCAGAGAGCAGAGACAGAAGCAAAGCAGGGAAGCACACTCATTCTCCAAAACTGAATTAAACAGGAATCATGCAGGGAGCAAGGAGGAGCATCCAAGAAAAGTACCACGGAGACCTTAATCGTTCATCCATCCATTCACTCATTCATTCATTCATCCATTCAACCAATATGTTGTGTTTTTTTCCTCTCCAGAGGGCGCTTGTTGCCATGTTCATAAAAATATTTGTACGAACTGATTTTTTTTTCAAAGATGATGCTAAGCTTAATACTAGACTTCCCCTACTTGTCCCTAGGTAGGTTTGTATGCAAACTCAAATTTTCTTGCTCCCCCCATCACCCTCCCCACTATAATTTATGAGGGATGTGGAGGGGGGTTAGGTGACCTTATGAGGCTGTGGTTATGCAGTTTGTTAGGGCAGGAGGGGAATCTACTTCAAGAAAAGGAGCTTTGAAAGGGAAGGGCGATTTAAAATAAATTGTGAATGGAAGGAGCATGCACCTTAATGAATGGAGGTGGGAGGCTAGGAGGCATTTCAAATGCAGAGGGCAGTGTGGAGGAAGTCTGGGCTGAAAAATCACAGGAGGAGGTGGGGGAGGCTAGGACAAGATACTCTTGATTTTCAGTTATAAAAAGGGGAGAAGGTGAGTGAGGTGAGACGGGATGGGAGGCTTGGAAGTTAAAAGCAAAAGATCTGTGGCAGCAACAGAGGAAGATAAGGAACTTATCAGGCTTTGAGCACTCACCTGATTTTTACCTTTTCTCCCMAGTGTGTTAGTATGGATAGGAAGCATCCAAAATAGTCTCTCACCAATTCAGCAGGCAGAGTAGCTGACAGTTTGAGACTGAGAAGGATTCTCTGGAGAGTTAGTAGGATATTATTTGATGAGATAAGAACACTCTGAGAACTTTAGTTTGCTCTTTCTATATAATTTTTGGACAGTTTTGCTTTTGTGATTTTTGTTAAAGGTAAAATAAAGGGGATCATCTTGGGATTCAGACAAAGTGAATAAAAGTATAAATATGCATAGTTAAGGATCTTTTTATAAGGATTTCTTTAATAAAAATGCCTTTATTGCTTATCTTCTTGTGATCCATCATTAGATTAAAACTATTAATACACATGGCTACCAGCATAGCAACATTTTACTGCATTATGCYAACACTTACTGAAAGGTAGGTAATAAAAAATGAACATATATTGAGTACCTACTGTGTGCCAGAGCCATTCACTTATGCTGTCACTTAAAATGCAAAATAGCCCACATTAGAGGGAAAAACAAGACTTAGAGGTATTAAGTGACTTATTAAAGGTCATGATTGATATTCAGTTCCATTTCTTCTGACCTCAGATTCAGAATTCTCCATTGTTATTCCATGCTAGATCTAGAAAGCATATAGAGAATGGATTCTGTATTCCTGATTGTCTGCAAGCCGATTGGATGGGTTTCTTCTCGCCTTCATCTATGTCCTCAGCCAATAAAGTACCACAAGAGGTTAATGGCACTGTCATTCCCTCCACCAAAAACCTGTCTAGGAGGAATGTGATTTCTGTGCAGTACAAAATGACATTTTTTTCCCTGCAGGAATAACTACAAACCATAACTATTTTCCTTATTTATTTTTATTTCAGGMTTAATCTTTGTGATAAAATGAACTCTGCTTTGATGCTATTTCATTTTTTTTCATTGCACATATGTTGTATTACATGGTCTTCATATCCTAATTGCATAGTTTAGGGATATATGTTTACTAGCCTGAGGAATTTTAATTTCTAAAAGAAAACACCTCTACAGTAAAAGCTACCTGTTTCATAACATCAAGGAAAAGAGCACTGTCCACAGCCCCAAGTGCTGAAAGAGCCAATTTCATTCAGCTTAAAAAGAAATATTTACTCAAAGCACTTTGCTCTGAAAATACTGACAGCTATTTTCCTCAGGATTGAGTAACGCTGAAACCCTCTGCAGCTGAACTGAAACTCATTCCTTACTGACATATCCCTGAAAGTTGATGAGGTTCAGGTTTGACATTTACACAAATRAGCAGTGTCATTACTCACAGTCAACTTCTTGCTCTTTGATGTCACTGTCAAATATACAAAATGGATTAGATTTAGAAATGCCTTTTTGCCCCTCTGACATAACTAATTTTACAGAGAATACCAGGACAAGAAGTCACATTATTCATGCAAGATAAAGAGACAATGGGAGGTATGAAGGTGAAATAACAGTGTAGGCAGCAGATGTAAACACTGACCCATTGGGTCCACTCACTATTTGAGCTTTCATGTAACTGCTTGGAAAATATCAATCTTGTTGAACTTACACATATAATGCCACCAGTTAGAAGTCATTTCTCCCACAGTGTCCTTTGGTGAAATGACGTCACAAGATACTCTGTGCAGAATAATGAAGTCTTGGTCACCACCCTCCCCACCACCACCATCACCACCACCACCACCACCACACACACACACACACACACACACACACACACACACACACACAGTCTCTCTCTATCCTTATGTCCACTCTTCATTATCAGATGCTAATTCCAGAGATAGAAAGCTGTTTCTGGAAAAAATGACCAAGTCATTCATATGAAGAAACAAATTACTGTAAATAGAATGGCATGAAAATTTGTATTTAGGAAAAAGCCATATGTGTGTCTAATTGCAGATTTTTAGGAAGGAGCATAGGTAAAAGCTCTTTGGGGGAGGAGTATATTTCTGTTATCTGCAAACTGATGACACATAACCTATTCATAAATTTATCTGGTATGATGATCAAGTACATATACCCAATTATTTAATCAATATATTTCGGGCATTGTTATTTATTTATTTATTTATTTTTGTTTTGTTTTGATTTTTTGAGGGAGGGACTTGCTGAGCTGCTTAGGTCCTTGCTAAGTTGCTGAAATTGGCTTCAAATTGCTATCCTCCTGCCTTAGCCTCTCAAGCTGCTGGTATTATAGGTATGGGCCACTGTGCCCAGCTCAATGTTTGGTTTTTAAGATTAATGTGTATGTGAGTGAGGACTCCTGGGGAAACTTGAAGAAATATATTTGATATAAATTTTACCTCTAATTCCTTGAATGGAAATGAGGAGGATAGGGAGAGAGAAAGAGAGAAGAAAGGTTTCTAGTMATTTCAAACATTAAACACCTAGAGAAAATAATCAATATACTGCCTCTCTTTTGTATTCAGATATCCTAACATCCACGTGGTATGCTTCTATATTAGTTATTACTGTCTCCTATATGAAAAATGATAAAAAAAATTCAAGAAATATAGACATTAGTCCAGTGATGTGTTTCTTGTTTCTTGTGTGACCATTAGCAAGTTTTAAATTGTTCAGGTCCATTTTTTTCTAATTAAAAATTAAAATTGATAATGCTTGCCTTATAGAAATTATATCAGAATATAATGTATAGATATCCTCTGTGGATATATATAGAGGAATACACACACACACACATACACACGTGCGCGCACACACACGCACACACACACTTTCTTTGAAATAGAGTAAACACTATTGATTTATGTCAATCTCTATCCCTTTTTTCCCACTACTGTAATCTCTCCTCAGTGTGGATTGTAGCCATCTTCTGCCTCTATGGCCAATCTGAATCTCTGTAGCTCTTTATGGCCTCTGCCCTCACCTTTTTCTCAATAATGTAAGTAAGCTGGAGTTGGCACTCTACTCTTCTTTTCCTTCCTAGCTCCATCCATCCACCCTACTCTTACTGACTGCTCAATATTCCCTTCTCTCTCTCTCTCTCTCTCTCTCTCTCTCTGAAGGTCATTCCTAATGACTGGATTATTTTTCTTTTTCTCTCAGTTTAAGTTGCCAGCACTGGGTATCTTTCACTTAAAGTTCATTTGTCGCTGTTGTTGCTGTCATTTTATCTATCACTACCAATGTTTTAAATAACATATATACAATATGTTGATTTAATTCAGTTTAAATACATTGTAAATTAAAGAATTTATCAGGTAAAAGTTAGGATAATTTGTCTATGTRGGCGGTGGGAATCTGTAATAGTGCTGTTTTCTACAGAATTTCTACAGAGTCAGGTTTATGCCCTGAAAGGGGAAGTAGCAGAGGTGACCACTGGCACTCCTAAGCCTAGGAGACAGTGCTCTTCTGCTTCTCTTCCTATCCAGTTCAGCAGCATGGATGTCTGTAAACCCATCCTTTCCTACACAAAAAGAAGAGGAGGATGAGGTACACTACTCAAGTTTGCCAAGAATCAGTAGAAATCAGGAATCATGAAGGTAAATGGTGATATAAGCCATTACATTCTAAACCTGTTGTGTGTTTTTAGTAATAGATTTTCAAAAAATGCTTATCTAAATAAGAGTTGAACCAACCCATACATCTGCGTTTTTGCTAAAAACATAGCCATTTAGTTTTAATTGGTAAAAATACATTATGTCTGACTTGAATAGAATCTCAATGATAACTT